CTGCGCGTGAGAGATTGAGAGAGAGAGAGAGAATTGAATCAATGAAATCCGGAACACAGAGCCCTGCCAACGTGTATATAGCGTCCGAATCTAATTGATTTACTGCCTGGTTAGTACGTTTCTGACCGGGCCTGGCCTTATCATGACACATGTTTTTTTCTTCTTGAACAAATACCAGGCGGAAAAGCCTCTCCCTCTCTCTTCTCTTTCAACTTTATTGCATTTGTACGCGGACTAATCCATAATGCCCCCCTCCTTTTGCCCTCTCAGCAGGTGAGAAATTCGACAAAAAATAGATTCAACGAATATATACTACAGCAATCCGATTGTCAAAGTGAATCATTCGGAATGAGAGATGTGTATACTCGTTTGTTTTCTCCTCTCGTTTTTTTGCAACCTATGCTGCTGCTGCTGCTGCTGCACACAGATAGGTATACAGACACGCGCCTCGATCGAAAACAAGCAATGAAGAATCTTGTTCGCGCGCGCGTCGTAAGAAAAAAAAGAGAAGAAGCGAGAATAATAATAAAAAAAAGCCATCTGTGCGCTCGTATTGTGGAGGACGCGGGCTTTTTTCATGCGTCGGAGTCGCGGCGTACTAGTCGCGTTGTGTGTGACCCGCGGCGGCGCGTAATGCCTTATAATAAAATTTAATAGTCGCATTAAATATTTGGCAGCTTCATTTGGTTGCCTTGCACTTTGAACTTTTTTTTTTCTTCAACTATGATATTTCGCGAAGGATATACCTTATAGAGCTCTCTGCTACGCTACGCGTGAAAAATGGAAACATTTCAATGAAACAAAACGAGACCGTAAATATATCGCGCAAAAACTAGGCCAAAGCTCGCCAAAGCGTTTGGACCTTTTTTTTGCTACTTCTCTCTCACTCTAGCTCGATGTTTAAAACGGTCATTTTGCAGGAAAAAAAGTTTTGAATAACTTAGCTTGCTAGGAATATAACGCAGCCACACACACACACGGTAAGTTTGTGCTGCACAGGTAACTGATGCAAATTGTGCTGCGCGGCGAGTGAATGGAAATGCGGTTATCGGCTGATGTAAGAGAGATGCCAAACTGAAAGCTTGCTGTATTTTTTACGATTTTATTGGAATTTTCGAGTTCATGCTCGCGTTATATTATGTTACAGTGGCAGCAAAAGCGAGAACTTTTTGCGAAACCGCACACGAACGAGTGTGCGTATATTTTTTTTGAAAAAGGTTTTTTTAATTGGGGAAAAAAGAAAAACAGAAAATATTATTTCCAGTCGAAAAAGAAGTAACTATTATGGCGCGTGCTCGTGTACTTTAGAGGCGCGGACGTCGGAAAAAGGTAAAAAAAAAATAAAACAATAATAAAAGCTCTCGCAGATACGTCAGAATCTTATTAAGCCTATACCATTAGTCGTAAATGGAAAATTTCGCTCGGGCGCGCGAAATCTCGGAGATTACGGGAGCTAGTTAATGAGTGTTTCTTTGAAAAACAGACTCGCTCGCGAAAGTGGCGTTTGAGAATGAAGCGTATAATAAAAGCCCACCCGCGCGCCGCCTCGTTCCCCCCCTTTTAAAGAACGCGTTGAAGTTTTGCATTGAAGGTGTGTAATAGTTCGCATATAATAATAGAACTCTTGGCGATACGGTATATAGCAAAGGCAGTTTTGCAGTTTAGGCTTCGCGCTCGCGCGGAGATATGCGCGCTATAAGCACTGCTACTACTGCTGCTAGACGCGATCATATAATAGCTCGTCAAGCCAACAATTCTTCTAATTAAACTGTCTTCTCCCGTGTGCGCGCGGCTGCCTCTGCTGCAAAACTACTCGTCGAAGATTCAACTCGTTTACTCTCGTTACAATTTCAAACGAACGAGTAGTAGTAGTAGTAGTAGTAGTAGTAGTATAAAGCATATATATAAGAACGCGCCCGAGTACATATATACGAAGAGCCTGACTGACTGATAAATAGAAATACCCGCCTCACCTACTTTTCAAATAGTTTCCTGGTTTTTCTTGCCAACAACTCTCGCGCGCGCTCGACGTCGACTCGCTCGCGGGCGACTTGCAAGCGCGCTATATACCAGCTGATATAGTATGTAGGGCCGAGAAATCGGCATACAGCATATATACGATGATATACTAAAAGTTTTAAAGAAGCCTTACGTAATGCTTTTTGCCGCTACTTGCCAGACTTTGGAGAGGGCGGGTGGTGGTGGTGGTGGGCTACTCGGGCACAGCACGACATTCGTCTCAGTATTTTCTCTCTTTTTATCATCATTTCCCTCGGAAACGTGTATACCTATAATGTACGACTCTATACGTGCGACGCTACTTTATGTACCTATATACGTATACGGTCGTCGGTCGAATGGTCCAACTACAGGCCGATGTCGACGAGTCGTTACATTTTGGCCTAAAAATAACGAGGTGGCAGTAGGTATTTTCGGTCACGGCATTGGTGTATATAGCCGATCAAACGAGTGGCATAGGCCAGCGCCAAATGGTATTATATCTATATCAACAACAGGTTGCATGGTTCCGCTAAAAGGTCGTGTCTCGTAAAAAAAAGCCGCAGCCAGCCAATTAGCCTCCACGTCGTCGTCGTCGTCGTTTTGTCGAGGCGCGACGATTAAAACTAAACCAGCTCGTATACGTTTACGCGGCTATGCTGCGCTATACGACTGCGTTACATTGTAATAGTAAAAGCCAAGCTTGAGAAATAAAAAAAAAAAAAAGAGGGCCGCTGTATATGTGTGTGTATGCATGCACGCGAAAAATATATATCCATCCATCCATCTGGTAATAGGTCACGAGATAAGAAAATATCCTACGTCGGAGAAAATGCAAAGTAAGCGCCACCGCCGCGGCCAGCGAGCGAGCGATCGGGTGGACGCGCATTTTATTTTAGCCTATGCCGCACACGTAGCATAAACACACAAATATTCATTGCAGAGTGCAGTTACGTATATATGGATAGTTCTCTTAGCTTTTTCAAAAAGTATGCGCTTTACAATATTAAACAATTCTCATAAAAATATATTTTATTCTACAATGCGAATGAAGACTTTTTGTACAATTTTTGACTCCGCATTTTTTAAGGGTACTATTAATTAAAAAGTTTCGAATAACTTGTTTTTTTACCATTTTTGTTGATTCTCAATAATTTCTACATTATATTTGGGGTATTTTCTAGCTTATTTGAGACCTGGTTAAAATCAAAGTCTTTTTTTCAAAAAAGTTGAGTTGGGGTTTGCATCAATAGTGGACCAATCTTGTTTCAGTTATCAAGCGACGTTATTGCAGACCGTTTCGAAGCTATCGAAAATTAAAAAAAGAACAAATTGCAGGTCTTGAATGTTTGAAATTTTAGAAATTCTGTTTTGTTTCACTCGGGATTAATACACAAAATGTAACATTTTTTCAGACTGTGCACTCAAGTCTGAAGTTGAAAACCCCATATTCTTAGCGAAATTCAATTATTTTGGGGAAAATGCCCAAAAATTCCAAACTAATAACTATTTTCTTTCTTTTTTTACTAAAAGACATTACCATGGATATTAAAAAAAATGTTTGAGGTGGACACAAAGGACAATTCTCAAAAATACACATTCAATCTTTTTTTACTAAATTTAATACTGTTTTATGGCCTTTTTGTCTAAAGACGTTCTGTGCCGAGTTAGATAATCACAAAGATTAAAGATATGACGATAAAAAGTAAAAAAAAAAATGTTGCCTCTGTTGCAAAAAATCTGCAAAAATGTAAATCCCTGTCTATTAGCCAAGATAGGTTGGCCCCTATTCTTAGTAGCACTTGGGTAATTTTGACGGAGCCGATCGCCAAAGTACAATTTAGTGGCGTATCAACTTTTTTTGAAATAGTACTCTTCAAAACGAAATAAAATCGTTCCGACTTCGTGCCAAAAAAGGTAGTACCCACCCGCGTAGAATTGTTTGCACGCGTTTTTTTTTCAAATGCCAAGAGAATGACCCATATACATACGAGGTGCAGCTACGTGCAGAGTGTGTGCGAGAGAGAGAGAGAGAAAGAGCAAGTTTGAACTTGCAGCTTGTCTTATGGGCCTCGCGTGACTCGAAAGGTCACGTTTATATCCATAGTGACGTAGACGTTTCTTCAAGCGCTTACGTAGGTAGCCTAACGAGAGAGAGAGAGAGAGAAATTCACAAATTTTCAAGGAGCTTCAATTTGACTGGATTAGAAAATAAGTACACGTAGTAGCTCTCGTATCTGCTGCATATATACGATCTTGCATATATCTATGCGGCGCAGGATAATAATAGCTGTATACGTTTCGACACGCAAATATAAACATTGACGAAATTTGTGAATATGCACGAGTATTATATATACTACATATAAGTACGCGGGGCAACGATAATTATATACCTTAAGGCTCCGTGACTGGTGTTTTAGCGTGGAGCAGTGTATTATACGCGCGCACAATATATAGATAAGTACGTGCAGCGTGCCAGGCGGCGGCTACTTTCGATCGGATTGGCCGCGCGAGCAGCACATCGTTATAATATCCAACCGAGCGTGCAGCAGCTCAAGAAGTTTTCCGAGCCTTTTCCGATCTCTCGCCCTCGCAAAAGTTTTCTTTCCGCCTGTCGCATGCGGGCTACACGGAATTCACGGCTCTCGCTTTAGTTGGCAATTCTACCTACTTCTCGTGACGATTCAATAAAATCCTTTTCGAGAAAGGCGCCCCGAGCTGCAGAGCGATATTATCGTCGTTCGCTCGGCAGCTCGCTCGCGGCCCGACAAACACGCGACATCTGAGGTGGACTTTCGGTACTTTCGATCGACCGCTCGTCGATCTCTCGCATATCTCGGGCTCGCGACATGGCACCTTGATAATCATAAGAGCGACTCTCGCGCGAGAGCGAGGGAAAGAACGAAAACTATTGTATATAAAGAACAAAAGCTGCATCTCGAAAACTGCTGCAAGCTCTCCAAAACGAAGGACTGCAGCAAAAAGGAGTACACACTTACCAAACTGAGTTGAAGAAAAGCTCTAATGATGACACCGGTGAGGCACATGCCACCTCGACGCTGCAGCACGGCCGGGGGCACGATTATGTCGAGCGGCAGCTTAGGCGGCGAAGCCGTCATTGGGCTGCTGCCGTCGTCGTCGTTGTTGTCCTCCTCTTCCTGCTGCTCCTCGTTGCCCGCGTGCCATTCGGCACCGACGCCGCCTCTGCCGTCGTTATTATTGCTTCTGTTATTGTCGCTGCCACGATTGCCGTTGCTCTTCTGTCGAATCGACGCATAAAAAAACAAGAAAGCGCGTGAGAAACAACTCGCCTCTTTTGAAACGCGTTCGATGGTTTACAAGATCGTTGGCGCCGATACTTTCTCGCGAAGAGAGCACGCGCGATCGAGTGCAAGATGCAATGGGATCGGCCAATTTTATCGGAGCTCGTTCGCGGCGCGCGTCCACTCGAGCAAACGGCATCGACTGCTGCAAGCATCCGTACTCGAGTTCCGATCAAAGATTTTCTAAAGCTTATAGTAGCCATTATTCCAGTGAGTGTGATCGCAAGCTTTATCTCCCGATAATTGCTTATATCTAAAGTAAATACGCGCAAACGTATAAAATATATATGAGAGGGCATACCTGCGTCAAACTCGTGATGAACAATCGGAGCATCGCCTCGCAGTCTGTTTATATTTTTTTTTATAGCTATAACTTATACGCTCTTATATATCAAAAATGTCATGAATAAAAAATGGCACACACGATCGCCGCTATATTGCACTTGCTGGCCGCCACTATACACGCCGGTCTATATAAATATGACTAAGCGCGTGTACCGTACACCACTATATAACATGCGTGTCCCTGCAGCAGCAGCAGCAGCAATTTATGGCTTGGTCGATACCGCGCTATATGCAACAATGCAATAGCATTGGTAAAACGGCCTATGCGAATCCTATAGGTGTAGAGAAGGCACACTGACGAGGCGCGCACACACACACACACCAAGATTTTTTTTGCCTCGGCACACGATCAAGACAGCACACGACTGACTCGTTTGCGGCAGTAGACTGTATATTAGTAGGTATGCGGCAAAGGTTCAAAGGTTGTTGAACTTGCGGAAGCACACGACGACGCGAAATTAGGCCCCGCGGCGCACCACACCGCAGCACGTCACAGCAGCAGCAGCAGCAAATCTTGACACTCTAACTTTCGACTCTTTGTGCAAATAAACACGGCCGCTCAATCGTATCCAACACGATGCGATTTCCTTTCTTTTTTTTTTTTGTTCAAGTATGTTACTTGTTATGCTTCCGACGGACGAGCTTATATCGAGCGACCATGTGTGTGTGTCTCTCTCACTCATGGGCATGTATTATATTGTAGAGAGATTTCATCGGCCGCACTTGGACGGTCGTGCTTGTAATACGCGATTGATTCGCGCGTGGCCTGCACAGCAGCGACGACGACACTACGATGTGTTTACTCAGCAGCAGCGCGCGACATAACCTTAATTGTCATAAGCTATACCACTGCTGCTCTTGGACTCGTATTGTTGTTGTTGTTGTGACTGCGAGGCATGCTGCGAAGCATAGATGCGAGCTTCCATGCCTGCATGCGAGAGCCAAGTCCGTTGCCGTCGATGTCTTGGGACACTGTGCCGACGACGACGAGTCGATTTCATCGATTTCGACGAATGACGAGCATAAAAGTACACAATATACGAACGAGAAACGTTCCGAGACTCCGTATCTCTCGAGAGCAGATCCTTATCGCGATTGTCTCACTTTCGCGGAATTTTTCTGCACTCGCGCGAGAGAGCCGCGTTGTGCACTTCTCCAAAAATTCGATCGCAACAGCAGCAGCAGCAGCAGTAGCCCACCTCGGTAGCGAAATCAAATTGTCAACTATCTATATGACGTCGAAGTGTGCCAGAGTCTTTTAAAACACGCGGAAAAAAGTCGGCCGCCTTGACCCGTTTGATTATAGACATGTACTACTACTCGCGAATCGAGATTGCTCCTGCCTGAATAGTAGTACTGCGAACTGGCAACTGTACGTTTTTGCGAGAGCCGCTCCGCGATGCGGTCTGCGTGTGTACATATAGCTACATAGCGCATACAAAGTGCCAAGTTAAGCACGCACACATTGACGTTAGTATGCGCTTACACTCGAGTGTCTCGACACTCGATGAGAATGAGAAAGAGAGAGAATCGCCTTATCCGGCCACTCTCGCATTGATTCTGCACTGCAAGTGAGTGTCGAATGCGTGCGATATGCCTATGCGAGCCATTGGCAGGGAAACATTTTCAACGTAATAGGATTCGTTATCGGGAAAATAATGTTGGCACACATAGTTTCCATTTCTTTTTTAAACATACACCCAGCTTGTATTTTCCATAAATTTCAAAATTATAATTTATTTAACATCTAAAAGGTTCCTTGTACTATTTATATTTATTTCTCGAATAAAATAAAAGCTTCAAGTATAAAACACTTTCTGTACATTTATTCATTTTTGTTTTCTTTTACTTTACAATTGCAATTTTTAGAATACAAGAGACTGACTGTGTTTGTCTCTGAAAGTATCATCGTTTTATTTTCATATTCATACGAGTAAATGGTGCTTGTGGTATGAAAACGTGTTGCACTGTCATACCTTATACTTTATCAAGTATTCAACAAGCGCTTAGTAAAAATAATCAATTTTTCTCGTAACATGGCAGCGGCGAAAAATATATACAAATTTATTACTCGCTAATATAAACGAGTAGTTCTTTCGTGTGAGTTCACCCAAGTCTACAAAGACTCGAAAGTACACTTATAAATTTCAAGTGCCGTTAAAATGAATTATTCACTACAAGCAGATCTCATTTACGGATAGTATTCTATGTATTAGCAAAAAAAATTTATGGCATTTATCACAGAATCGCCCAAGTTAAAATGCCACATCTGATAGTTTTAAAAGTTTATCCTTAACAATCTATACTATATGGTACAACTTTTTTAAATATATCAACTACAAGTTAACTTTGAATCATGCATTGGTGCTACATTTAAAAAGTGACAATTCAAACAAAATCGAAGTAACCATCATTGATATGTTAAAACTGATTTCCAAATTTCAAAAACTTATTGTTTTTTTACATCATTTTTAACGACTGCTTGTGGATTTCATGTTTGAGATATACACTTACGAATTTTCTATCAAAATTAATTTTCAATTATAACAAGATTAATACTAATGAAACAATTTAATGAATCCAAAAATTTTTGCAAAATCATTTCGTCTTATGATCAACCTACACATCACATAGATTATGAGATGCTTTGGCTGTTTCTGACATAATGTCAAAAGCTATCATCCAAGGTTGTGTTAGGAGAATTACTTCTACTATCTGGAGATTGAGATAGATGCATAGCTGCATAACGTCTTCTTAAAATTTCTTGCAAGTCATTGCATGGACTGGGACTTACATCTCGTTTTATTTTCAATGGTCCACCATTTGGAGATCTAAATTATTTTTAAAAATTTTGAATAATTCTATAAATTCATAGTCATCAAATAAATAAAAAATCCATGATTTTGACTTACTTTTCAACAACCCTCAATTTTACTTTGTCAATTCCCTTCAATATTTCACCCATTGACTTTTGTGCAACAAATGGAGGTTTTTTACGTTCCTCATTTATATGGTCTTGTAAACTAGCTCGGCGGGCTATATGTGGAGTTTTTGGTACCGGAGGCAGTGGTGGCGGAGGGGGTGGTGGTATGCTAAAGTTACTATTTCCAGATGACCCATTGGCTTCTGAAAATTGTAACATTCCTATATTTCATAAAATCACAAAATAATGAAATGAATGATAAATTGCGTAATCAAAGTTAAAAGATAAAAATAATTTGGTTAGCCGGTTAGGTAACCAATTTAAAAAAACTATAAATGTGATTTGGATTTTCTAAATAAAGAGTAAATTAAATATAAGATTATTAAATAATCATTTTTCTTACGAGAGGCATTTGGTTTTCCAGGTTTAACAATGGTAGATATTTGTTCTCTTAAATCTTGTAACTCTTGCTCCAATGCCAATAAACGAACTTCTGAGCCAAAACTTATTGGTTCCAATAAATCTGGTTTACTTTGGTAAAGCCCATTGCTGGAAAAAAAAAGTTATACATGAATGTAATATTTTCAATGATAAATGTTTCAACTTTATAAGAATTACACTTAATTGGTTATTATACTTTTTATAAAGTGCAATAAAGGCAATACAGACAAGTGGATAAACATATATGCAGAAAGTACTAAAAAAGTTCTAATATTAAACACCAAAAGCTAACTACTTGGTACAAAAAAGGAATTATTAAATTATGGTACTTTATGTATGAAATATCCCTGAATTCGCAACAGGAGGAAGGTCTTGAAACAAAATTAATTTTATTTAGTATGGATTTGAAAAAAGTTCCATTGTTATAAAATTACATAACAAATGAAGAAGTTATATAGTACCTTCCAGCTCCAAATCCATTTGTGTACTTGTAATCGCTAATAGGTTCTTGGTCGATCATAGAGCTGCTCATGGAGTGTAACGGGGTAACACTAACATATATCTTTGGTGGTGGCTTCAGAGGCAGCATGGATCCAATCCTTCTGACAATACTCCTCCTCTTACCATAGTATTTAATTTTCTTTTCTTCCATTTCTGTGCACAAATAATCCAAATTATTGATCATCACAGCGAGAAATATTGAATAAACAACAACCTCTAAGATGCTTTGAGCTGTCTTACCAAGTGTTGAGGAAATCTTGACTGCTTAAATTAATTAACACTGCAAGTGGCTTTAACTAGGCCAAGCGATCGCACATACGTAATTGTTAGGTTGTCTAGTTAACCACCCCTACACGTTCCTCTCGGTTAGAGTCGAATCACAGACGAAAAAATTTGTTGAGGAAATTAAATGCTTTCGAACGAGCTCCACGCGATCCCTCTAAGATAGGCTCAGTGTCATCACTAAAAACGTGTGGTAACCACGTTATTTCGTTGAGCCATTTACTCGCAGGATAGGAAAATCTCGGATCGAGTATTTATTGGTCAATGCGCAGATATGTATGCATTTCCGGAGCACGTTATATATGCGCGGGAGTAATTGTTATGGTAATTTTAACTCGCTACGCGTCAAACGGCCAAGATGATTCGATGACTTCCGAACGGAGCCTGCGACGCGTGCTATGTTGATACCCGTAATTCGTATTGTCAACAATTGAAATTTAGAAATTCGGCATAGGAATTTTGGACTTTATCTGTTATTGGCGTGCGTGTGCGACTGTGCCTCGGGCGCGCATGCGTCTGCTCCGAAATCAACTGCCTGAAGTTGGGTCAGAATTGAGCTGATCGGATCGATTCTCGAAATGAGGTCATTTAAAATGTATTCTGAACCCAAAACATGATCAGAATGTCATTAATGACAATAACAATAACATACACAACCTAAATTAATTTTTAAATGAAGATGCAGCAAGTACATAACAGCAAGCAACCTTTTTTATTCAACTCTTCGCCGAACAAATGTTTTCGGAGCTGTAAAACGAGATTCGCGCGGAAAGTGACGTTAGTGCGCGACGATCATTATATTCGCTCTGGCACTGTACGTCAGGTGGGCTCTTATCTTATCGACGATTATCAAGCGTCGACTTCAGACCGATCAATTTTGCTTCCCCAAGTCATATGATCGACTCCTGACTTATGTTTTTCTCGTGACATCGTACTGCTGCAGAAGGCATTTACGGGCACAGCAAAACAGCAAGTGTCTACTCGAGTCCTGTACGGAACTGGGCGTGTGAGTGCAGTGCAGTGTAATTTCCCTTGAGTCAGCGATCGTCAGAAAAATTTGCCAAAATGAAGGGCTGCCTTTTCAATATCGATAACGGATACCTGGAGGGTCTTTGCCGCGGCTTCAAGTGCGGTATTCTCCAGCAGAGTGATTATCTCAATCTTGTCCAGTGCGAAACTCTCGAAGGTAAACGTTGGTTCTGCATTCAATTAGATCATCTTTTCACAAATGTACAGCTTGTAACAATAATCATACTTCTGATATTTTCCATCCAGATTTAAAACTACATCTGGCAGGCACCGACTACGCCAATTTTCTGGCTAATGAGCCATCGCCCTTGTCCGTCAGTACTATCGATGATAAGCTACGTGAAAAGCTCGTGGTTGAATTCCAACACATGCGGAATCACTCAGTAGAGCCGTTGTCTCAGTTTCTTGACTTCATCACTTACAGCTACATGATCGACAACATTATTTTGTTAATTACTGGTACCTTGCATCAGAGACCTATTTCTGAGCTCATACCAAAATGCCATCCTCTTGGCAGCTTTGAACAAATGGAAGCCATTCATGTTGCTGCTACTCCTGCAGAATTGTACAATGCTGTTCTGGTCGATACACCTCTTGGTAAGTTTTATCCTATCACAAGGGTTTTAAAGAAATTGTTTCATATTAATGAAAAATATTTTTTATGCAGCTCCATTCTTTGTGGATTGCATTTCTGAGCAAGATTTGGATGAAATGAACATTGAAATTATCAGAAATACGCTGTACAAGGCTTATCTTGAAGCTTTTTACGACTTTTGCAAAGAGCTTGGTGGAACCACTGCTGAAACTATGTGTGAAATTTTGGCTGTAAGTTTCAAGTAGTGATGAATAATTTCATTTTCATCTAAATGATGTCTTGCTCTTATTTAACTTGAAGTATATCAGCTGAGTCATCAGTTATCTTTCGGTACTAATAGTTTTCTTTTAAAACTTTCCAGTTTGAAGCTGATAGAAGAGCAATTATCATTACAATTAATTCGTTTGGTACTGAATTAGGAAAAGATGATAGGGCTAAGCTTTATCCACGTTGTGGTCGTCTGAATCCTGATGGTTTAGCTGCCCTAGCTAGAGCTGATGATTATGAACAAGTTAAAACTGTTGCTGAGTTTTATTTTGTAAGTCTTTGAAATAGACATTTTTCTGAAGTAATATTTTAAAAAAAATGTAACAATTCATTTTTTCAATATTTTAATAGGAATATGCTGCTCTTTTTGATGGAGCTGGAAATAATCCTGGAGATAAAACTCTTGAAGATAAATTTTTTGAGAGAGAGGTAAGAATGTTAACTTTTTTACACATTTATTAGCTGAAGAAAGATATTTTAAATTTTGTAATTTTTTGCAGGTTCGATTAAATGTTAATGCTTTCTTGCAACAATTCCATTTTGGAGTATTTTACAGTTACTTAAAACTGAAAGAACAGGAATGTCGCAACATTGTTTGGATAGCTGAATGTGTAGCACAGAAACATCGCGCAAAAATTGACAACTACATACCAATATTTTAAATCTATAAAAATACTCAATATTTGAGTTAATGGTGTTGAACCTGAATTATTGGCCAATATTTTTATTGTGTGGAGATCTAAATTTTAATTTACCTCCAGTTATAAATTTATCGATTATTATTTTTATTGCTGTAGGCTCCACTTTTTATTATAAACTGCCACAAAATTAAATCCGCCTGTTAAAAATCTTAATGAATCTTTTATAAACATTAATTTATGTTAATTATTTTGATGTGAATAATTGATTTTAAAACATATCATCTCAAGTATTTATGATTGCTGATTACAAAACATTCTATAAATTTAGATACAATGGAAAAAATGATTAAACTTGAACTCAAAAATTGAGGAGCATAACTAAAATGCTTCAAAAGATGAACAAGATTTTACAGATATTAATAATGTTGATTTATAAAGTGTGTATGAAAAAATTAATTATGTTTGACATGATTTTCATGGAATAAATTATTTATGTTTGTAACAATTGCTTCAAAGTCTATATCATGCAAATTTATCTAAAGTGACATCATAGTTACTGATTAAAACAACATTTTTGAGTTTTCAAACAAAAAATGCAAGTATTATGAACGTTTTTGTTGTGAATTAAGGTATTAATTGTAAATAAAAATTATTGAAGCTTACATTACAAATAATAGTGTTGGATAGTTGCATTCCATGCCTTCATCATAGCATGAATTGATGAACAATTTAATTATAAATTTTAAATAATTACAAATTTATGTGAAATTTATTGAATAAATATACTATTATTAAAAACAATCATTAAACAATTTCATATGTTACTATTTATATTCTTTAAATGTATTGTTCTAATTATTATAATACAATCAAATTACTTGAAAACAAGTAAATTGAAGAAATGTAACTGACTTTGATTCAGTAATATCTATGCATATAAAACGTAATCAAGCATTTGATACTTGGTCAAAAAAATACATTAGCATCCATGTTGTCATTATATTACAATGTACTTATTTTCCACAAAATAATTACTGGCTATTTATTTGTCTATTCTATCGTTTTTACTTTAGATGCCATGATCTCATCTGTCGAATTTGTTGGTGAATGAGGTTTATATTTATTCTCACATTCAAAAATAGGAGCACCATCTATTGTTTCTTTTTTAATTGCTAAAATGTTTGGCTTTCCTTCAGAAAGTATTTCATCATGAGTTATCCAAAATGCATCACTTATAATATCCTCTACTATAGCTACTGGTTCTGGTTTTGTATAACTCACTTTGTCTTTTTCGTCACTTTTTATTAATCGTTTACGTAGTATTGTTGTGCCTTTTCTAAACATTTGTGGCTCATTATTATAGTTGATTCCAAACTCTGAAAATAGTATTTCATTTTTGTCTGCAGACACAGTACCCCTCAATCTCTCTTCAGCCTAAAAAACATTGAATCAATTATGAACAAATGAAAATAAGCAAAAGTTTTTGTTAAAGAATGAAGTACCTACCTCTTGTCCAGTCATTTTCTTTTTTTGAACAAGCTTCCAAAAGCATGTGTTGTATAGATTGTTTATGTGGACATCAGCCTGCCTCCAAGAGAGATAATCTCGAAGATTTGTATCCGTGGGATAAAGTACTGTCCTCGCGTCGAAAGACGGTGGATACTTCAACTTATTGGAGTCGTCGAAGTATTTGGTCCAGAAGAACGTGTACGCAGATGTGAAGAGCGAGCCAACGCACGTCATAATCTTTGAAGCTGTAAGAATGAAAAAAACAATGATTATCGAAGAGAAGCGTGAAGAAAAATCTGACGGTTTATTCAAATAATACCTCTGCGATTGTAAAGCTCGGAGCTCTTCCTAAAAACGAAGGAGTACTCGTCGCTTTGCCCATAAGCCATGACAATATCCTTGTACTCCCTCATGACAATTATGGCAGCGTGATTCATGAGATTTAGAGCTCTCTTGTCATTCGGCTTCGTGAATTTGTGTGAGTCGGAAAATTTGGAAAAATTTTTACCATCGACTCGCACGACGATCCAGCAATTGGGCAATAACCGGTCTTCCTCCTCGAACTTCCTCACGTACTCGAATTTGCTCTGAGCCATGATGCTGTTGACGCTAAAACACCGATTCACAGGTTTGAACTTAGCGCCGTCGATACGACGATTAGGGAAATTGCAGAGCACACGAAGTAATGTCCGATTGATCATAAGAGATGACTAAAAATTGTCGAATGTGGCGATGAACAAGTACAAACTGAATGTTGTAACCTTGTGAATCTGTAAAAACAACGTGCCCGCCGCACGTCACGTGTAGCAGACGAATGTTAATATGAACCGTGGCCCGGTGGGGCATGCACTCCACTCCATCAGTTAAGTCCCAACTCCCACTACTCTACTTTCGGGGACTGAATGGGTAATTCGGATCCTTTTCATATTTAAATTATTAAAAGTTTCTGTTAGCAGTTATATTGTTGAAAAACAGTTATTGTAACTTTATTTTTCCCAAACTTGCCAATTTATTTAATTTTTGACATAAATTATTAAATTATAAGTTGTCAAGACATTCAACGTTGTTATTGAAAATTGAAAAGTGTGCCCATCTTATTCATTGAGTTGAAAGATTTCTCAGAAAAGTTTTAAATAATAATTATTCGAACGGAGCTTTCAAATTTTTCTTAATTTTGTGACTTGTGTCGATAAAGCAGGTCTGCAAGTACCTGTTGACAGTTTTATCTCTGCGGTTCTGTCGCTGAGCAGTTAATAGTGATTTATGTTATTATGTTGTTTTGATAACCACTGCACGTGCCGAAGTTTGCATAAAATATCGGAAAATGTGAGGGTTCCGCGTCCGAGACACTTCCGAATCATCATGCCCAGATAGTACAAGATTCACGGGTGAGTCAACGACCGAAAATTGATTACATCGCGAGCTTTCGTAATTGTTAATGCCGGCCGTGTGTATACGTTCCAGGTGCACCTACACCTTCTGCGACTAACTGCTAGGATTTTCATGTCGAGAACTGCGAATGAATAATTGCGATCATGGAGCTGCATAAAAAATTTATAGATCTGGCTGCTCCGGATTCGCTGATCTTGGAGATTGTTGACAAAGTCATAGCATGCAAGGATTCTCTGCACTCAGTGCTTCAGAAATCAATAAAGGATCAGTTTAGCAATTTACGAGAGTATCACGCAAACAAAAAGAAACTTAAAGCTACGAGATTACTGCTGTGCCAATTGTACGAATTGAATTTCAAAACCGCATTTGAAAGTAAAACTATTGCTTATTTTTCGGAAAATCATGTTATTGATCTTCTGGAGTGCAGTAAACTGTGCACTCTCAAAGAATGTCAAACAGTTATGAATGATATTTTAGTTTTACAATTAGTCCTATTTGAAGACAGATTGAACTTGATTCAATTATTTGAAGACTTTAGATCACATTACATACCTGACAAGTTACAAGGTACCTCTGAAACTTGTCCGATAGGTTGGTACTTGAATATTTTAAGATGTTTTTTACAAGCCTGGAAGATTATGAACTTTTTGAATGATCAAAAAGAATCTGGAGCATCGAATAAAACACACTTAGAAGCATGTAAAAAAGTATTGCTGTCTTCAGTTATGTACGATCTTCAGTCATGGATTCAGTGTAAGGAAAATAATGAATGGCATGCCTTATATTCTATTTTACTTGAAGTTATTAATATAGCAAAATCCACCAGGATTTTGAGTCCGTACATACATGAAATAATGGACAAAGATTTTGACTTGAAAATTATTTGTATTATCGGTGAATTTGTATTTCCTCTCAATTCATCTAATGCTGAAATTGATTATAGTCTAATACATCATGAGAACTTGTGGACTACAATTCAAAATAGGATGATATCTGATGATTCTTCAAGCAGAAAAGAGGCATTATACTTATTCAAAAGACTTATAGAGTTTATAGACTTACATGAAGAGGGTATTAAAAGGGTAGTTTCTCTCAATTTGATACCTAACAAAATAAACCCATTCATTTGTAATAAAAGTGCTTCTTGTCACAATGACATAAAACAAATTAGAACCAACTTTATTTTACTTATGGAGGCTCTAGAAGAAAAACAGAAACATTTGGTCACACCATGTTTGTCATTACTAGACTCTTTGATAGAAGGATGTGTTGAGCATAAATCTTGTGGGGATTGTTTCAATTTCAGCTGGGTATACTGTGTTTTTGCAAGAATATTAAACCATGATAACCATTCAATTGTCAAGTATGGACTACTCAAGTCATTGCAATTGAATGCTGAAGCCTATGGTTACGATGCTTTTATTATTCTAATAATCAACACTTTGAATCATACATTTTTATACGAAAAGCATTGTGAAGAATGTGAGCCTGAAATTGTTACTACGTTGACTCAGTGGTTCAATATGTTTCAGAGCGAGGAATTGCATTTAATTGAAAAAGTTGCATATTTGCTTCATACCATCTCTTGGGGTCCAGTCCCCATTTTTTATACCTTACATGCAATGTTGTCAACTTCAGAGCATTTAAATACTATAGTAGGTTTGCAAGATGATCATTTGGAAGTAATAAGATTATTAATAGAAACAAACATAAAACATCATCCGCCCATGTTGCGTTTAATGTCTCAAGTAGCATTAATCAAAATTGTATCCAGATTTTCAGAAATCACAAATTTAACAGTTTTTTGTAATCTGTTGAATAGTTTTTGTGAGAAAAATAATTTAGAACCAAGTTGTTGGGAAGCACTTAGATCTTGGCTAAGTCAAATGCCTTATGAAATTGTTTTAAATTATGTCAGTCATACTGTTGAGAACCTTACAGTTGATGAGAGAACTGTTAGAATTTCAATGTCAATATTTTCTCTCATGATTCAACTTTTATATGAGGGAGGAGTTGTTTTCCAAACAGAACAATGTCTCGTTAAACAAGAGATAGCAAATCTTTTTTTGTTTCTTGATAAAGTTGATGTCAGACCATATGTTAATATTCCTCTAACAGTTAAAATTATTGAATTTTTGTGCAAATGGTTTGATTGGGATCATGAACCACCTCATTTTATCCTTAGAATTTTCGATAACTATAAGAGTACTATATTTAGATTTATTTTGAAGTTATTGAATAGCAAAACTCTTGATTTTGAAGATGTTGAAATATGTGTGCGAGCTCTCCAGGGTATTAAAATTCATGTTGGAAGAAAAACTAAAACAGTTCCAATTATTGATAACATCAACAGTTTAGTTGAAAAAGCTATGTATATACTAGAGAATTCTAATCAGTACAGTGCCATTCAACTTTTGTTTGCCATGAAATCATTGAACATTATACCAGGACACAGTGCCAACAATAATTGGTATTTTTTCACTATGATTAGAAATATATTAGAACTATGTCAAAGTAAAAAGTATAATGCACAAATAAAGGGTAAAATAGGATTAGAATTTTACACTGCACTGAGCAAATTAATCAAAGATCACATATTACGATTAGACAGCACAGAAAGAAGGAATGACCCTGGTTGGCTTGAAATAATCTCATTAATAATTGATGCCGCTGGGAATTCAGTTCTAATTCATTTTGGAGATGTTATACACACGTATACTTCAAATTTAGCGACTGATAATAGAGACTTACAAGACTTTAAATTTTTGGTAAAAAGTTTTTGGAGTTGCAATTTTGGTAGTAAACGCGAAAAGATGTTTTGGCTAGCTGCTCAAAACCTGACCTACTGCATTAACAATTCAGATTCTATAACTTGCAAGACTCTTCAAGATATTCCCCAAGAGGTACTGAAACTTAAAGTATTATTTTTTTCTAATTTCTTTCAGAAATTATATTTTGTATTTGTTTGCAGTTTACTAATCAAATGCTGATTGAAGGAGATACATTACCAGGCCTTAAATATATCTTGTTGACATGCAGTGAAATAACACCGAATTTTAATTTTTTTATGGAAACAATTTTAAATGGTCTCTTGCATGGTGAAGTGATGCGTCGCGATCAAAGGGTTTACATGCAAACTTTCATGAAGGGTAACGAAGTTTTGAATTTTTCTCTGTGCAAAAGGGAGGAGCATTTTCTTGCCTACGATTTTCTCAATAGGTAAGCGCTAAATTGATGCCTAACATGATTTAAAATTCACAAATTTAATGAACGACTTTTTTAGGAATTGCAACATTGATGCTGCCATACGCGCCGCAGCAGTAGTAGAGCTTAGCAAAGCTTTGCAAGTCAAGAGCCACAACTCTTTATTGATTCTTCCATTGGTATTAAAAAAGTTCTTGGCTGTAAAGAATAAGAGATACTTTGCTGATTCTCAGCTTCATAGACTGAAACATCGGTTGATGCAGATTCTTTTGATACTGCAACCGTATTTAGATAAGGTTTTTTATCAATTTAATTTCGTTTTCTATTGCAGTATTAAAATAGACCTTTTCTAAAACTTACTTTATTGCTTGCAGGAATCCATCCAACTTTTGTATTACGCTTTACGCGATTCAATAATGAAAGATAGTGATCAGCACAGTGTACGAATGATGAAGGAGTGGCTTCTGATTAGAATATATTTGACTGACAAGAGCTTAATACCTGATTTATGGACATTCTTCGAAAAGGTACATCTACATTTCCACAAAGTTCATATTTATCCATTATAAAAAAGAATGATAAAATAACGCTTGTGTTTTATAGATTTGCGAAGAACGACCAGGAAGTACGAGTTCATTAATCTGCGTCATCTGGCATATAGCTAGACAATTGCCTTTGGAAAGTTTAGAATCGTACTTAAAAATGGCATTGCAAAAACTGAGTGTTTGCTGTATGGGCCAACAATTTGGAATGCGATTGTTTGGCCAAGTATTTTTCTTGAAACTGTATCATTTATTAGACAAACACAGCGATGTTAGATTGGAATATGCACCTTTCTATAAAGCTATTTCCGAGAGTTTAGATAGCGGTACTTTTAAGAAAAACCCCATCAAAATAGACGAAGACTTTTTCTATAATGTATTTGATCCTGTTAGGCATTACAGTCTAGAGGTAAATTTACTATACTTGATTTTGATTTAATTCTGTTAGTAGATCTCACATTATAATGAATATTCTATCAAATTTCTAGACCATTTACCATCAACTACCAAGATTGGCCAATGTTAGCATTGAGGAATGGATAAAAAGTGATCAATTTGAAACTCAAATAGGTTTAAAGGGCTACACTCTTGATATAGAAGTAAAGAATTCCGATTCATTATTAAATCAGTCATCTGTTCCATATGCGATTTTAAAATCAAGTAAGTTGTACAAATTTATGAATAATTATCATTTTTTAAGGCGGCAATTAATTTCGTACCGATTTACAGACGATAATCAAAAATCAGAAGAAATTGAGGTCACTGTTGGGCCTAACGATATGCAAAAGAAAGTATCACTGTGGAAAACTATTATACCAAATGAAGAAGTACCGGATTTGAAATACGAGCTAAAAGCAAAACGTGATATTATAATTATTGCTTCCTTAGTTGATAAACCCCAAAATCTTGGAGGAATTGCTAGAACGTGTGAAATATTTGGTGTAAAAGAATTAGTTGTATCTAATTTTAAGCAAATTGAGGATAAAGAATTTCAAGCCTTGAGTGTTTCTGCTGATAAATGGATCAAAATAACAGAGGTAAATTTTTTCCTTTTTTAATGCTTAGCTGTTTTGTTTTTCTACTTCTACTGTATGTATTTGTTGTTTTAGGTGAAGCCATTTGTTCTGGATAAATATTTGCTTGAACTTAAAGAGAATGATTGGAGCCTTATTGGAGCTGAACAAACAACAAATAGTATCAATTTGATGGATTTGAAGTTTCCCAAGAAAACAGTTCTCATTTTAGGGTAAATTACAACAAACTCAAAACTGAAATTATTTCTGAGACAAGCCAATGTACAATTTACTTATTTTCTTTCAGAAATGAAAAAAACGGAATTCCAGCAAATATTATATCGTTACTTGACATTTGTGTTGAAATACCACAGTTTGGAGTAATACGTTCATTAAATGTTCATGTTACAAGTGCAATTTGTATATGGGAATATGTCAAACAGAGCTTATCTGTTACATGAAAATTGCTGCTCTGTTTTGTAATATCAAAATTTTTTCAATACATTTAATTGTTTTTATTAAATTTTTGTAAATCAATCTTCCATTTTGAAGTTTTCCTCTTTTTTATTAATACATTAGATCAAACTGAAAATTTGGTTTCAGATTTTTGAACTAATATCTATATTTTACATTAACATGAAATCTATGTGATATTTAAAAACAATATTTCTAAACATCATAACCGACAATGTGGCGTTTTCCAATGCATTCACCAACAAAGAACCAACAATAAACTTCAATAGCCACCAAGGTGTTCAGGAGTGCATCACGAGTGGTAATATTTTTGTAAGCACCAGTCTTGGCACTAGTGATCAGCTTGCTGATTCCAGCACGAATAGCTGGGATGTCTTTGGGGGTTGGTGGTACCATTTCGACCATGGCATATCTTTGGATGATACGAAGCTGGGGCATAGCTGCCTTAATGCTATCTGTAAATAAAGAGATTTCCTAAATCATTTGCATTCAAATTCTTTCAAGTTAAAACTATTGAATAGCTAAGAAGTTAATAGACAATCAGTGAATCAATTGAATTATAATTTCATAATTTACTCATTTAATAATTGAATGATAAAGGTGTGGAATTGGCAATGAAAATCATAGAGCATATTCAATATTGTCCATAACCTCAGTGCAAAATTATTTCGGTGTCAATAATTTTTGATCGCATTGATATTTTACATGGTTGTTTTGAAGACATCGATCATTATAAATTATAAACAATTTTGAAAATATCTTAATATTTACATATCAACGAGTTCAAAGATTGTTACATAAGAATATGAATTATCCATGTTATCTTCAATAACACTGATTCGAGAGTAAGTTTCGATGACACAGAAAAGTTTTTTACAACTTACAAAATGACATCTGATACTTACTTTGGGTGAGAGACACCAAGGATCCTACAACTTTTGCCATTTTTATTATCGAATTTTCCAATTAGGATACTACGAAGAATATTGACTTGTGCCTAGCACAAGATGTAAGTCACAAGCATACAATCAATGGAGCGGTCCGCATGCGCAGGCGTTCCCTATATTAACGTCGACTGCTTGATTCGTATTCGGTAATTCCGCAAAACGTCTGCAAATCGTGTTTGATTCATAGTGAAAATTTGACAATTATCGAGGTAAAAAAAGTCCTAAATCATGGCTCAAAAAATTAAATTAGTATTAATAGATTTAAGTGGAACGTTGCATATAGATAATTCAGTTATTCCGGGAGCAATCGAAGCATTGAAAAAATTACGAGGTTTAAATGCACAAGTCAAATTTGTCACAAATACCACTAAAGAGTCAAAAAATATTCTTCACACTCGCTTACAGACCCTGGGTTTTGACATAAAAAAAGACGAAATATTTAGCTCGTTGGGAGCCGCCAGAGAACTGGTGAAAAGTCGAAAATTAAATCCACTTTTACTAATTGACGATGCAGCATTGGAAGATTTCACCGATATAATCGACGAAAAACAACCATCTAATGCCGTGCTCGTAGGTTTAGCGCCGGAAAAATTTAATTACAAGTATCTTAATGAGGCATTCAGATTGTTATTAGAGGGAGCGCCTCTAATTGCTATTCACAAGGGTCGCTATTATAAAAAATCGGATGGTTTAGCTCTGGGACCTGGTGCATTTGTTCAAGGATTGGAGTTTTCTGCTAATGTCAAGGCTGAAATCATTGGCAAACCGTCTGCCAATTTTTTCAAAAAGGCCTTAGGTAATTTTTCTCCTGAAGAAGCTGTTATGATAGGGGATGACGTAAATGACGATGTAGCAGGAGCGCAAGCTGCCGGTATTAAAGGATTTTTAGTGAAAACTGGAAAATATCGCGTCGGAGATGAAAACACTATTGACCCGGTGCCTGCCAAAGTCTGTAATTCATTTGTAGATGCTGTAGATATGATACTTCAAAATAATGATTCATGATTTTTAAATACACGAAATTAAAAATTATGTACATTTATTAAACAAAAAAGATTAATTATCTGAAAAATATTTATCTTAGTATATGCTAAATCTTAAAATAAATTTATAATAAATCTTTGAATATTTGGTTTCATGAAATTTTTGTAAATACACTTTGCATTTTAATAGCATAAACTTTTATTTATAAGTAATAAACATGTATGCAATATTATTTAACTGTGTAAAAAGGAATTATATGCACAATCAGCTCTCTCCCCTTATCAGAATAAATTGATTTGATGTCTCCAGTCTTTCTCTTGCACTAAAGAAGTGTTATAAAATTTGTGGTATTTGTATTGTACAACCTTTGTATATCAATCCCATGATTTGACTCTTAAATCTGATTCAAGAATAGACCAATTGGGAGAACTTTTTTCTTTCGATAGCCAGTTGAAATCATCAATAGAATCCCAATTGTTTATATTTGGATCCAAACCAGCTAATTTGTAATGACTTATTTGATCTTCGTATGTCCAATTATAAGGGGCTACTTTTATATCTGTACAATCCTCTATGATAGCTCTGCTTGTAACATGCAGATATATATTACAATTTTTTGAATTATGCAATCTCAACTGTTGACATGCAAAAGCAAAGTTACAATCACGACAGTCATCCACAAAAAGTGATGTTGTTACGGGTCCAATCAGCACTGTGCATTGCACAAGACCAACAATATGAAGAGTATTGGGTGTGCCATATATCCTAACTGTACACCTTGTTAATTCTGATAATAACACATCATTTTTATTAACATTTTCAGCATCCAACACTAATGTTTCATCCACTTTGTTCAGAAGCACACACCCATTATCACCATAATCATCATAAATTGTCTTATTGTTCTTTTGTGTATTTACGCCATTTTTAGTAATACTTTCTGTGATTTTCAAATTTTTTAAACTATCTGTAACATCACTAGGCTTTTCGGACGAATTTTTTACGACTCTACGGTTTTTGAATCCAAATTTTTTTCTAGGTATTAGTCTTGCTTCAATTTGGGCTGCGTCATTTTCTAAAATTTGAAGTCTTTCTTGAGCTTTTCTAATGTCATAAACTTTTAAAAAGATTTTTGACTCAAATAAGTAATTTTTCAACATTATTATATCTTTGTTAACTTGATCAAAAACTCCAGGTAAAGCAGAAGCTGGCATGGTGTCTATATTGTCTAACAGATCTTTTATCCTTTCACATGTTGAGTAAAAAGCTTGCTGGAAATAGCTTGCTTGTTCAGTTTCTACAATGAGTTGCTGCTTTTCTTCTTTGCGTTTTTCAATCACGTTTCTTCGCTCCCTGTCTCTTTTGTTTATACGCTCAGACAAGGTTTCTTCGTTCAATGTGCTGGCTTCCATTGTATCTAAACTATATGGGCAGTGAGAAAAATGTTTCAAGTAAACTCATCATTTGAAAATAAAAGTATAATAGATTCATTACCTATTTAAAAAAGCTTCAAAAATTGTTATCTTTGAGGTTCACAGATGTGTGTTTCAAATTTCATCATAGTTTTGGACTCCACTTTTGTAAGCTGATGAAAACGATCAAAGCTCTACATACAGATTGTAGCTAATAAATGCTATTTTGTAAAGCAATGCTGCATTCACCACAGATTTTTTTGTGTCCAAGCAGCTTCATCCAGTTCACGTACTTTGTAGTTTTTATTTTGGAGCTCACCAACAGAGTAGAAAAAGTTAAGGATGCGTGGAAACTTCTGGTGAAAGTAGTATCTGAAATCTATTCCAGAAAAAAAGAAAACGAAAATAAATCTTTTGGCAAAGTAGTAACTTAAAAATTTGCAATATTATTATACATTGCATAGGTTATGCTAAATGAATGAGTAAATAAAGATCGATATGTAGCTGTCAACGTCGTGAACAGTAAATAAAAGTAATAATAATTCTTGGTAGCGTACTTTGGTTGTAAAAAAGTGATGTGAGCTTTCATAGACGCGTTTTCAAGTGCAGTTGACAGAGCTTTTTTCGGATCACATTGGAAATGCATATCTTGTGTTTTCGGTCGTTGATTCGATTCGATCGATGATCATTTGATGTAAATTTTCGCACAAACTGAACGCGATAATGACGCGATGAAGTAAAATTTCGAGAAAAATAGTCGATCGACGGTCGGTGGGCGTAGGAGTGTGTGCGTTACAGTCACCAAGTCGCAGAATTTCGCACACAACACACACACGAGATACGAGGCAAAAAAATGGACGTAAGGCAGGGGGAGGAGGAGGGACATAACCTAACAAGGTATCTGTCATACTTGGCCAGGATCATGCCATATAGCGCGAAGAGCGCGGAAAATATACCTACCCTGAGAGTGATTCAATTGCCTCCAGACCAGGTAGCAGTTGGCGCACACGACGACTTCGGTGACAACTAAATACTTCATAAACTTTAACCAGGGTTTACTCCTCGAAGGCCGCTTAACAAGCATAATAATTGTTGTTTTCTGCTCTACAATTGCACTTCCAGGTAAGCTATAAGCTATAAGTGCGTATGTGTGCGCACTGTTGCAAGAGCGACGCAAGTGTATATGCGCCTATATATGTTTTGATTAATCTGGAGTTTGACCGCGGCCGATCACCTTATATGGAAATCATACGCGCGGATCAAGGTGATCAGAGAGAGGCTCGCTCAGCTTAGTGACTAGAATCGGAGTATATAAGGTAGCAGCAGACAACCGAGTCTGCATTTCAGCGGAGGCTGAACATAAGTCAAGTGGGATCGTCGCGATCCGTTTAAAAGGCCCGGCGATCTTAGCGATGACGACCGCGGCGACTACTACTTGACAGAAAGGAGTTATAAATTTACGATATCATTGACGCGCCGTGGAATAACGAAGAAGCACACGCGATTACCGAAGTTTGCGCAAAAATTTCGATCGTATGAGTAATCGTACTCACTACTGGTATCACGTGTTTTTTTAAAATCGGCAAACGCGAATGGAAATGTTGAAAGGAAAACAGTCATGAATAATCCAGGCGATTATTTATTAAAAACTATCACATTAACATTTATGTAATAACCAAAGGTTCATATATATAATATATTTATATATTTATATTGTATAATCCTAATATTATTTTTAATCCAATTAAATCTTTTACACGTCATATAATTAATTCATTATTAATTCAACTGTTTTTTTAAATCATCACTCGAATCTCACTCGTTTAAGCCCAAGATTCTTCTGCTACTTCGTTAGTAATTTTTTTATTTTTATTTTGTAGTTATAACATGTATTGAGTCGTGTGCCACATCGATTTTATTTTGTAAATTAATCACGGTACATAGCGTTTGATTTTTTTCTTGTTTTATACGTGATCGATGAAGGAAGAAATAATTCCATAGGGTTTTGACAATGTGCATCAGCTATAGATATGACATGAACTATACTCGTTTTCCCATGGCAGTTTTGCTCTCGCAGAGGAAAACAAAGAATGAAAATTACGATGCACAATCGGTTCTATTTGGTACGCTTCTGTTGTTGTTGTTTTTTCTTTATCGTCAACGAGATAATAAACGAAATTTTGTTTACCGATACATCACATATTGCACAATAGCTCGGTGGAAATCAATCAAACTTATGATATAATATTTATATAGGCGCGCGTAATGCTCGCGCGGGTTATTATTCATGCTATATCTTTATATACTACGCCACTATACAATTTAATCTTCATGTTTCAAAAATCAATCGAGATACATGAGTTTTGTATTAGTCGCGTGAGGAGAGAGAAAAACATTGTCTCGATACGCAAAGATAATCGTAGCTTTCGTCATCTTATAATATAAATGATATTTACGGAGTTAAAAGCATCTCACGCAAACGACAATTTTTTATATTTTTTACATGAACATACCCATTTTTCCTCCTTCATTATTTTTATTCTACAGCAAACTCCCATTTACTTTATACTTATCGATACAGGTATTGTATGATGGTTATAATTCGCAAAATGTTACAAAATGACGCACTCATACTCGGCTCGCACTTAATATTATATCTATAAGATATAATTAATATGTATATTTTGTTATATCGTGATAACTTCAATTGAATAATAATTTCATTATTCGTGCACATTTATCGCGATAATTTACAAAGCGAAAAATACAGTAAGGCCATATGTCTTTTTATATCATGAATTATTGAGCCACGAGAAAAGTAGAAGCAATTTATTGTACAATAGAGGCAATATATAGAACTTTGATAGAGTTTTTTTTACGAAATAATATTCTCGTGAGCGAGAAAAAACTAACAAGCGTTAAGCTACCTTTTCACGTACGCTATCGAGGTTTATTTCGAAGTACGCGAAGCTCTCAAATCAATGTTTTTTTTTCTTTACGATGTTGGGTGAATCCATGAAAATCATTCGATTTCTTTCGATCAGGTTTTTTTTTTAAATTATAGTCGAGTATCGATTTTGTTGAATTTACATAAAATGTATACAGCAAAAGCAAATAACAAGTTGAGTCAGGCCAAATTATAAATATTCAAAATCAAGATCACAAGCTTGAAATAAAAAATTTTGAAAATTTTCTGTTTAGGCCAAAATAATTATTCATGCTTCAAATTGACTTTAACACAGACCGCTTGTTTGAACACAATAGAAAATGCCACACCTCCACGGAAAAATGGTTCGTCCTTCGTCTTTGTGTAGAGTAAACTTTTAATGGCACTGAACAGTTCATTTAGTACACTGTGAAAAAATATAACTTTCGAAAGATGAAATTTTTTGCTTTGTCTGGCATTTCTAGAATATTTATGTAAAATATACTCATACTTTTTTATATATTTGTTCTTTTTTTTCTGTAAAATTTGTATCACTCGTGAATGACACTACTTGTGTCAAATAAATCAATGTCCAACAATTTTCGAAGAATAAGTAGTGAACCACTGAAAACAGCAAATACTTTTTGATCAGAAAATAATCGTTGGATATTGCTTCAAGAGATTGAAACAGCCTGTTGAGCATTGTATTGGCAGTTTTGCTCAATGCATCAAATGATCGTGATATTTTTTTGCTCGAAATTTTAGAACTGTCCACAACTATACTATAAAATTTTCAGTTTTTACATCATTGCAAAATGTTTTTTTTTTCTCAATAAACAGTAGTCAATTCATCTTGATAGAATAAGTATGCTTTATAATGGAACTCTCAAGTGCTAAGGCACTCAGTGTACATCTATTGCATCATGTACATTATTTTTCTTTTTACTTATTTAAGTCGTGTTATGTTAATCGATAAGAAAATGACAAATGATATTAGGTGCATCTCGGGAGTCAAAAACGTACAGTTACAGTTAACCGTTTATTACCAAATTCACAGTATGAATTCCTATTTATATAAGTGATTGTATTACCACTATACTATGTAAAAGCACGTCCGACTTTGATATAATACATATCATGAACTAATGTACTAATGTAACTAGGAGCCTTAAATCTGCGCACGTTTTATACACGACAAAATTGGTTCTATGTGAATTGCACAAAGTTTGTAAATAGATGGAAATCGTATCGATTTCCATGTGGCCGAATCTTCTGATTAATGCGATCGAAAATTTGTCTCGCTGATCGTTACTTTTTTCCGAGTGAACATTTTTACTTATTCATCGTTCAAGATTGTCATCGACAATTTCCACAAGATGAATGTGAAAACACGAAGTTAAATAAAATAATGAAATATTTTTATTGCTTATTGCACCATTTATTTCAATACTTAAATTCAACGCAAATCCTGAATGAGGAATAAAATTCTATCGACTCTATACTATCTCATGTTGTTATGAACGATAACAAAATAACATTGCTTTTGATTCAGATGTTTTTAATAATTGCACAATAAAATAAATGTCACGATACTTGGCTTTTTCCGTGTATTATTTTCTCGTTATTATTGCTTTATATTTGGCTTTCAAAATTATGAATTTTTTGAATCCCAGAAAAAAAAAATGTCCTCCACTGTCATAACGAAAGGTAAAATACTCCTATTTTATATATCTAGAAGAAATACTTGTATCAACAATTACACCAAACGTTATTTTTCACTCGTTATTTATTTTTCAATATTTCAACAATATAATTATTTTACAGCATAAAAATACTTTTTGTACCAACCAACGAGACAAATCATATCAACTATAATGCATTAATAAATTTTTATATATAATTTAAATTTGCGTTTTCGTATTGCGTAAATTGCATGATGATGAAAAATCATGAAACTTTATTTTTTTCGAAAATAAAGTCTTGAACTCAAATCATGTAATTTTGGTAGATCAAACTTAACTATTTTTAATAATTATATGCCATAGTCTAGATATTTTAATGAAAATTATCACGGCGTTCAAGTAGATTTTTTAACCTTTCCATTTCAAAATTTTTTTTCGATGATTGCTATTAAAATTAATTTAAGACAAACTTTTTCGATGTTGATGAATTTTTCTCTCAACTGCATTTAAAAAAAAATTTTAATACGTAAAGGTATTTTTCACTGCTCTAAAGATATTATTACCTTTGTACATGAATTTCTAAATTCGAGTTTGTATGCTTTGCAATTTTTAACGCAACGTTTGATATAAATATAAAGCTCGTAATTTGTTTATATAAATATATCGTAACAAATTTGTAGTAGAATTAATAAATAATAATATTAACTATAATTGTATTAAAAATGGCGATTGTATATTAGATTCAAGTTCTAAACTTTCATTAACATAAGTTTAAATCGTAACTTTGTTGCTCAAAGCCAGATAGTAAGTAAGTCTACTCTTGTCTTGTTGAAGTATTGAACATCTTATAAATATGATATTATATTTATTGAATTTTCACCAACAAACCGAAACATACAAAAATGAAAAGTAAATATACGTTTTTATACAGATGCAAAAGGTGGTTATCAGCAAGCTTTGAAATCGCTTTGATCAAGCGACAAATCTCTCTTATTTATTGAGAATCACTTTTTAAGCAGTTGCACCAAAAATCATTTTATGACAGTTGATTGTTGACTTTGTATCAGTCAAAAAAAGGATATACATAAGTTGATTATTAGTTTGACTTGATACTGGTTTAGAAAAAAATTAATTTTAAAACGTTTCCTCTTTAGTATTATGATACAACACCTCGTACCATGTTTATAATAATGTTTCGAAAGTGTACAAACTTTAAATTTGTATACCCGATCAATAAAATATACCTTTAAAATGTTTTTAAATCATTATAACTTTTACACATGTCGTTTACTTATAAACTACATTTTACTTCATATGTTAATGCGTATCAATTTTCTTTGTTAGCTACGCATTTTTAACAGTCTAATAATCTGTCCTGGCAAAAAATGTTTGTTCTTTAGTTTATAAAAAATAAAGTATTTTCGGTATTTTTAGCGTTCTGCCTAACGATAATCTATAATAGTTTTAAAAATGTATAACCACGAGTATTGGGATAAAATAAAAACATTCTGCCTGGTATCGAATAGGAAGTTAAATTTAGTTATTATAGTTTTTCTTTTATAAAGAAGCGTGACTCACTTGAGCTAGAAAAGTGAAATCACAATGTTTAATTATATCACGTGACTGCTCTATGTTGTTGGCTTTATGTAACGCTCAATTTCGAATTTTATAAGATCAATCTATCTGTGGATTGAACTCAACTATGTAATCTTTGAAGAACTTTCTAATCGTCTAAAAATTATGACGAAATCATTGGAGGGCAGGAGAATTCGAGTGATAGTCAACACGACAGTCTTTTGAACACCATAGGGTCATGGGCACATGATTCACACCACGTCTGCTACGACACTATATCATGTCAGCCTCCATTTGCAGTGTTGTTTACTGCTAAAACAAAGAAAAACTTATTTAACAATCTGTTTTTGTAAGTTGATCTTCGAGAACGAACACTTGTTTCCGATTAAAACGAACGTAAAAAAGAAAATTAAGTACATTATTAAAATATATAGCGTTGTCACATGAAAATATCGTTACGAATAACGAACGGCAGACTTGGGTCCCCATATCCTCACTGTGCAATCATCAGACACCGAAGCCATCATCTGGTGATAAACAGGATTCCAGGATACACAATTAACTGTTCTGCTGTGTCCTGTTAATGTAGCAATGGGTAACTCTTTCTTAATATGCCATACATAAACTTTATTATCTAAAAAAGTAAAATGAAACATTAAATATTATACGTTGGTTTGTCATATGTACGTATACGTCGTATTATACGACATTATACGTCGTTTCACCTTCACTTTTAGTAATTTACCTTCACTTCCTGAGGCAATAAAATCTTCATTTACACCTCCAAAACAACTATGAATAGTAAAGTGCCCTTGAGTAACACCCTGAAAACGCCTCACCAAACATCTATCTTGTAAATCCCAAAGGTGAACCCCTTGGTGAGCAACATTCAGAAGGGCTTGTCTATCAGCCTTATTAACACTAAACGACATGATTGGATGATCTTCTTGCAATCTAAATAAGAATTTCTCGTATTAAAAATTTGATTTCTATACACTATGAACCTCTATTTGATCAAATATTTACATCGTAAATTCACTTAGTTCGTCGAAGTTGTAACCACGAATGCGATGATGAGAATCTGCGGCTAGTACCGTTTTACCATCGCTTCTACACCATAAACCTTTAACTCGTACGCCTTCCCATGAATCCAAAACATTACAATCCATATCCTAAAGTAGGAAATCAATTAATATTGCAAACAGAATCTCACAATTTTACTAGAAAAATTATCTTCAACATAAACTTACACATTGGTAAAATTGACCTCGAAGTCCTCCCGTCACGAATTTATTAGAGTCGCGATGCCAGGCGCAGGCAGTCAGCGAATCTTCAGTACCTTGAGTAAGTTTAACACGTAATTCGCAATCCGGTGTATCGACATTCCACAACCAAAGTTCTGGACAATCTTCTGGTCCACAGGCTATCAAGTGGCTACTATCTGGACTCCAAGCTACAAGAGCCACTCCGTATGTGTGACCTTCTAAAGTTTTTCTGTGCGTAACGCGTAATGTTTCCTGAATATAAATAAAAATTATAGTAAAAATCATCGAAAATTCAAAGTTGAGAGCACAATTGATATAGCTCAAAATACTTACAGGATCAACGTCCCAAATGATGACGGACATGTCTTTTGAACCGGTTGCAAGTTTCAGACCATCTGGTGAAAATTTGCAGTACCAAACTTCATCACAGTGATCGTTCAAGATTTGGGTAGTATGACACGGAAACTGTTCCTTACTACAACTATGATCGACTAGGAGCGATACGTTTTCGAGATTCGTCTGTGGTTTATAATATATTCATAGTGAATTTCATAAAAATTAATTGGATATTTTGCTTATATCGATCAAGTTAAAACAAACCTGTGTTTGAGTTATATGATAAGTGCATTGTTGATTCTGCATTTCAACAGCTTGGCAAAGAAGGGAATGAAGACGTCGTGGTGGCAGCATTATTGAAGGAGGCAGGAATTTTTGGAGTTTATCCATTAGCGCCGAACGTGAAGCCAAGCCTTTGCCTTCCCAACCAGCTCGAGCCTTTTAATTAAAAAATAATCAACAGCAAAAATTGAAGGTTTTGAATGAATTTTTTTGAAACACACCTGTAATTCTTCTCTACCACTGCACATCATAAAAGCAGACAATTGATGAACACGACCTGTGTTGTGACCCAGAGGAGTGAGTTCATTTCGAAGTACATGCAAAGCTTCAAGTACTAAACCATCCTCCAAAAATTCCAAATATTCTTGCTCCAACAACAGAAATTTCATTTCCTATTTGATAGAATTAAGAGAGGATATTAAATGGTCCATTTTACTTTTCATGAAAACAAATAAAGTTTAAAAAGTATCTTACCAAACTATGACTTTCAGTATTTAAGAAACCTTTGAGTTCAATGAGATCATAATCAGCCTTTATCCAGTCACCATCCATAACGTGTTGTCTAAATTTGGCTGCAGCTGGATGGTCCAAACGACATCCTGATTCTTGCATTAACAAGTCAGCAGTACGACTAAAGGTAAAGTAAGCAAAGGAAAAAATTGTTAGTTTGAATATGCAGATGTGAGCATCCATTAATAAAGTAGTCATAAGATCCATACCAAAAGAAAAAAAAATCAAAAATACATGAAGCGTGTGAGAATAAAGTGCTTACTCTAGACCAACTGTCCTTAAATGTTGTCCAATGAGCCTGACGATATCCTGGTTTGTCTTATCTATGATTTTGGTGGAAATAGTTGGATTGACATCACCATTGAGCTGCTCACCAGTCTCTCCATCGGTTTCGGTGATCATATTTCCATTTGTGGTAGGCACGCATCCACCACCACCTCCACCGGTATCACTGAGTGTCCCATTCTGCTGATTATTGGATGGAGAGACAGCCGCCCCATTGGCTCCCTGCTGTTGCATCACTCTGAAGACGGCATAGAAAAACATAAACATTATCATCATGAACATGGTTTGATTTGACATGAGTCTGTGCGGCCTTACATAATGAAAGAAAGAAGAAAGAATGGAGCAAGGAGAAAGAAAGAAGTAGGAGCTAATAATAGAGCTACACGAGAGATGAAACGCGTGTGCGATCGTGCGATCGAAAGGTGTGTGATACCCACCGACAGTTGTCCATTTGCTCTTTAGTAGCGGTAATGATGGACGAGGAAGCTGCTGCCGCGGACGACGAGGTGGCAGTCTCTGGATCGACGAGTTGGTGGGCCTCGTCTCGAGGCTGTTGCGACTGATCGGCCGGTGGAGACGTTGTGCTGGCTGCTGCTTCTTGCGCGGCTGCAGGGTCGTTGCTACTGCTCTGTGTTTGGGGTGCCGTTGTTGCTGCTTGTTGTGTTGTTGTTGTCGATGTGATTGTTGTGACTGCTCCTGTCGTTGGCTCTGTTGTGACTGTTGCTGCGGCCGAGGATGAAGACGATGCCGATGACGATGTGTTTGGGGTTGACGAGGTCGCGTTGTTGTCGGACGGCGCGACGAAGGTACTGCTCGTGGCAGTGGTTGATGATTGGTCCTGCTCCGCCTGAGTAGTCTGCTGTAGCGAACTACGTAACCGTTTGCGCGGTGGCGGAGCAAGCCCACCGTCGTCGGACTCGCCGCTCGAGGCCAGGCTTGCTCTGGGTTCTGGACTTTGTTGTTGTTCCTCGGGATGACTCTCGCTGCTGCTGCTACTGCTGCTGCTGCTGCTGTTGCTGCTTATACTGCTCTCGGAGCGCTGCTCGTCGCTAACACTCACGGCTCTCACGGCTCGCACGAGTAACTCCGTCTCTCTCTCAAGCAGCTAAGGCGCTGCTCGGCTATTGTCAAAGCACGGCGCGAGGCGACGACGACGTCAATCGCGGAGAGAAAGAACCCAGGCACACACGCTCGAAAACTTTTCCGTGAGCGAGAGAGAGAGAGAGAGAGAGAGACAGAGAGACAGAGAAAGAGCGAAGGCGAGCAAAAGAGAGACAGCCAGATATCAGTAAAACGACACAAAACAAACTCTGCTCCGAATCCGCTGAGTGCGTGATTTTACAATTCGTGCGATAGGTATATATAATCGATATAGATTTGGATTCTTGGTCAGTTCGCGAGACTCTTGAGGCGAGATCTCTCGAGTCAATACATGAATAGCTCTCTATCTGCACACCGCGCTCTAGGCCTTCCCTCGTAGCTGTGCAGTAGTGTAGTCGAAGGTGTTCACTCGCGACTATATTTATTTATTTATAATAATATGGTACAGAATAGCAACGATTACGTCGCACTGCGTACTTGTGTAGTGGCAATTCTACGAACGTTGGATCCTCTCTCGGGGAATAATTTTTTGTGTATTAGCAAGAGGTGCTGCTGCTGGTGGGCTGATTCTCACGGAGCGGTAATAATGCAGCTGTGGCGGAGTATAAGCACATCGTCTTGGGCCAAGTCGACTACGACGACGCGTTGGCTGCTCGTTTTAGCGACGAGGATTGCACCCAACATCGCCACTTACTCGGACTCTCGCGATAAATATATTCTCACTATGCTGCTTTCTCGCGTATTTCGATGCAGCTGCTCTGCTGTAGTGTGCTGTCCGCGCGCAAGAGACTCTTTATTGTGCATATATGTATATGCGTGTACTGCTCTCTGCTCTGCTCTGCTGCTCTGTATATATATTTTCTGCGTTGTTGTATATATATAGAGATAGAGATAGAAGCTCTTTGCTGCGCTGCGCTGTCTCGCTCGTACGACGACGACGACACGACACACCATACACGACGATGAGCTGTGCTTTGGCTGTGCTCTGCGCGAGTCTGACGACACCACCACGCCAGCAGCAGCGAGTTTACACTGGTCTTGCTTTGCTTTCCGCACGCACACACGTATGGACACACAAGTCAGCGCGAATATGTATACACACAGCGAGTAGCGCAGCAGTCAGCGTTGTGTAGCAGTAGCAGCAGCAGCAGCGGAGCAACGCGAGAAGAGACGACTCCGCAAGGCAAGGGTTACACAGAGCGGAGTGAGGGAATATATAAGTATGTGTATATCAGAGAGACGGACAGATATATACCGAGGAGCGACGGAGCGAGAGAGAAAGAGCAAAGCGACGGAGACGACGTATGTATAGCAAATGTAACTCGCGCACACATACACACACACAGGGAAACGCAGCAGAACTGTCGTGGGTCTCTTACTCTCTATGTAGTTGGTATATAACACAGAGAGAAAAACTTTCAAGCATAAATGTGTGTATACGTAGGTATTACCTTTGTGTGCTACGCGTTGTACGAGGGTGGCGAGGTACGAAGAGGCGGAGGAGGAGGAAGTCGTGGAGGAGGGATGGGGGAAGGGGGAGGCATAACAGTCGCAGGCTTTCTTATTCTTCTCTCTTTCTCTCTTCTGTGTCTGTGTGCGTGTAATATATGTACGGGCTAGCTGCTCTATACTCTCTCTCTACAGTATGTATAAACACAAGCTTCGTGTGTTTGTAAACGCGAGGCAGCACGGCGTACGTCACTCTGGTCTCTGCTACTGCTGCATGCAGCTATCCAAATGCACACACATATATATGCTGGAAACAATGCGCAGTCGAGCTGCGAATTTTCGACGCACACGCACTTGCTTGGATGTATGACACACACACTCGCGAAGAAGAAGAAGCAGCTCTTCGCGGAGCAAGAGAGTGAGAAGAAGCCACAACGAAAAACAAACAAACAAAAAAACTGCTGCCAGGCAGCGATCACACCGCAGCGAGTCTATGTTTCTTGGCCATTGGCTTTGATGCTACAGTATAGGCGTAGTAGTAGAGCGCACGGAACTCCGAATACACACAACAACGCGGAAAAAAGAGAGGATGGAGTTGCAGTGCCGAGTGCAGCAGCGAAACCGAGAGCAGCTGCTTGTCACTGTGTGCGTGCGAACGTATACTTATGCACACCACAACACAACGCACTGCTCCGACAACACAGCTCACAGTCGACGACGCGTTGGTCGGTCGGTCGCTCGTAGCGCGCGGGGCTCCTCTTTGGCGTGTATCGCGATGTACTGGCCACTATAGCCTCTGTGCACGATGCACAATTTACTCTCTGTGTGTGCCTGTGCCTATGCACTGTGCACACGGTTCTCGAGTTTGCGCGTGGTGTGCAGCAGTGCCTCGTTTGCGCAGCAGCAGCAGCAGCGAACACAAAACACGGAGCTCTGGCCACAGCTGATGACTGCCAACAACACGTACACATACACAGGCAGGCGCAAAGCCCCGCGGAATAATATCGCGTATGTGTGTATGTGTGTGTAGGTACGTTGTTGTTGGTGGAGTGCCTACGTCAGGCCTCGGGCTGGCTGCGCGATTTCATATATAAAGTTGTGTCGTGCTTCGGCAGTTCTCGGGGAGCTGTGCGTGTACGGCAATGGCTGCGCTGCCAACGCTGCGCGCAAAAGCAGCAGCGAGCAGAATATCGCGAGCGAAATACCTATACTGCTGCTGACTGCGCCACTTGCTGCTCCGCTTTATGTGTACGCGTATTAACATGACATCTGTACAGCGTGAGCGATGTACGCAGGTATATTAGGCTCCTTGCTACTGCAGACGGCTTCGGGACGTTGGTCAATACACACTGCACACGGTGCAGCACGTTTATCTCTGTTGTTGTTGTTGTCGCTGCGTTAGACCGTGTATAGAGCTCGAGAGAGCGATAAGCGCACGCGGTTGCGCGCGACAAAGGCCAGCCCGATTGACACGACGACAAAGGAAAACACAAACACATACAGGCGCTACTATTAGTATCTGGCAATACAAGCTGCGATCCAAAAGGACGAGCAATGAGCATCGAGCGATCGCTTTTCTATATACAACTCAATAATGTGATGACACGCTATAAAGCTATTGCCAAAGATGTATGCACGATATAGCTATATTTTGCCAGACTAGCGATCCTCCCACCTTTGGCCTATGATTGTTGTATGTAGCTCGTTCGCGTGTATCCCATTACTTGGCTTACATAGAGCAGTACATTGTCTCTTGTAATATTAAAACGAGAAGCTGTGTAGATTCTGCGCCGCTGATCGCATTCGTGCATGTGTGCGAAGCAACGGGGAAGCCCCCACTTGCGCGAATTCCCGCAGGAGCAGCCTAATAACTGGAATAAAGCTCGTACACAGCTCTGTGCTGCTCGCTTATAGTTACCTACATCCATACAATGTTTCATAATTTAAAACATTTTTATCCATAATAATTGCTCCAGTTTATCCTGAAGGGTGTATCTTATGAAGCGCAGCTCCAAATCGTTGCTATTGATATATATATATATATAGAGAGAGAGAGAGAGAGGAGCCAGAGGTGTATGGTAACCGAGTAAGTCGCGAGGCGCATCCTCGATAATATCCTCGACCAGATCAAATTAACGGGCTCATCTTGCTGGAATAGGAGCGTGTGCGTTGTACCGTAAACGGTATAATACAATATATGCACGCGGCCGTACGTACGAGCACATGCGCGCAGCGAGCTCGAGTCCAAAGCACATCTATATTATAGTCGCGACAGTGATCGCAGTCGGTGCCACATATAATCGGGCCACCCGCGCACGGCCAATCTGCCAATGCGATGCGATATCTTCGCTTGCGGATAATTGAAATCCAATACACGTATATAGCCCCCGCGTAACACGATTGTGTGTGCAATCGTATGCAACGAACAAAGAGCTCATCGCGGATTTTCCGGCTGCGTTATATGTTATATGCAGAGAAGCAATTGCCAACATTCTATATAATCCTATAGACGCGCATTATGTTTACATCACTGACAGTCTCGGTTCGAACGAATTGTATACAAACAAAGTACAACTTGACGTATAGGCGGATATCTGAATTATCGACGGCGCGCCAATATACCTATATGTAAAATACAGATCTGCTGAGGCGACCGACGATCAGTCGAGGCCGATCGCCAGTCAATTTTCCGCTTGTACGCTTTGCCGATCTCATCGATTTCTATGTACGAGTTTTTTTCCGACAACACCGGCTGATTAATCGCTTGCAAACCAACAATGTGAATTGTCTCTTTTTCTTTTTCGAGCTGTCATTGGATGATCGATACCGGAGCAAAATTTTGAAATTTTCAAAATTTTTGTCGATTGCAATGCGGTTCACGCATGCAACAACGTCCTTCTGCTCAAAAAGAAAAGAACGATGAAAGAAGGAAAGATTTGATTGAATTCAGAAGAAGTCAAGAGTTCAGCTTTAAATCATCAGAGCTTATGGAACCATATCTCGAGCGCGCGAAACATGAAACAAGCTGAATAAGGCTACGTTCTGCTACCACAATCAAATCTCTCTTTTGCTTATGACAAGAATTGGTCACGGGTTCCCAACTTTGGCAACCGATGATTTTTCGTCCCCGATAGAGCCGAAACTAATGTATACACAGGATCGCGACAGTGTTGTGTCGCATAGTCGTCGTGTTTTTACGTCTAAATACATTACAGCAGGTACGCATTCATTGAGCTGGTGCATCTCTTCTCTGCGCGATCGCGAAAAAATCAATCGACCGACGAATTCGCGCTCTTTTTTTACGACTGTGCGTTGCAAGACCCCACGCGCCTGATTTCAGCTACCAGTCCGTACTCGTTACACACACACTCTCACACTGATTATTACTGTACATCGGCCAATAGCAGGCAAGTGCATGTGCATGTGCAGCATACTATGCAGTATAGTACGCTATAGAGTTTGGTATACATAATAGGGATGTGCAAATACCCAATTTTTCGAGTTTTACTCGAATAGTCAGAAATAGTCAAATACCTACTCGAATATTTTTGGGTACTCGAGGTTTTTTTAATTCTTTAAAGGGATAAAATGATTCATTGAAGTATTTGTGCACCGTTTTCGAAAGGTGAACAGTTCAACTTCAATTTAAAGCCCAAAACGTTAGAATTCATCGACTCACAAAGTTACATCGTTAAAATCAAAATGCTTCTTATCCATTTTTCAAAAATTGAATTTTAGAGTTTTACAGAGCTTAAGTGGTTTTTACAACATATGAGTAGTGATGTAAAAAAAAAGAGCCGCTAAAATTAAATTAACACAAAAATGTATTAGGACTCGTTGATGAGTTTTAAAATAAAAATGAGAATCAACATTTTTTTGGTTTTTCATATTTCATCGAAGTAAAAACTGGGAAATAATCTTGATAATTAAAAAAAACCGCTGCCAATTTATTGGCAAAGAGATTTCTCCTATTTTTCGGAAATATGATAAAAATAAAACTCGCTCGTCTAAACGGACACAATGATTTAATCGAGTCAAAAACACGGTTGATCATCGAACCAATCCCTGACAATTCCTGCGGTGTGAATTGGACTGTTGTCCTCGACGAAAAAATACTTCGTCATCGTCGGGAAATAGCTCCTTGATGGCTGGTAACCAGAGCGTATCTTAAATCGATACATATAGTTCAATCAATAAAGGTTTTGAAAAAAACAACCAGAATTTTACGACGGATTCTTATTCTGGGTACCCTTAACAACCAATTTTCATAAAATGCCGCTCTTGATCGTTCCTGCTTTTTTGTTTATAAGCGTTTAAAAATGCAAAAAACGGATTATAATTTTTAACTCGTAAAGAGTAAGTTTTAGGATAAAATGTTTATCTGCCGAACCAGAATTCGTAAGTCCAATTGAATTTCGGCATCTTGT